AGGTCAAAGTCCAGCAGTCTGAGACACCCAATATCCACTGGAATCTCCTGCTTTCCTGTTTGCCCTCTGCAGCATTTTACAGTGCTCACTCGGGGAACATACAGTGTGTGACCCCACCATTCTGTTGAGAACATAACAAACAAACTCTGTGTGTGTGCGTGTGTGTGCCTGTGGGCAGAGGTCAACATCAATGTCTCCTCAGTGTCGTCCCTAGCTTGTTTTCTGAGACAGTCTCCCATTAAACCTGGAGCTGACCGTGTTGGACAAGCCGGCCAGCGAGCCTCTGAGGTTCCTTTGTCCCTAGCCCTGGAGCTGGCATTACAGGTTCCTGCTGCCATGCCTGGCTCTTCTGTGCCTTCGGGGGATCCAAACTCAAGTCCTCACGCTCGCACAGCAAGCGCTTTGTGCCCAGGGAGCATCTTCCCAGCCCTGTAACGAATGCTTTAAAAAGACCTTTTCAGGCTGGGCATCACCGTGGTGCGCGCCTGTAATCCTAGCATCTGGGAGGCAGAGACGCACAGTCTCAGTCAGGCTGGCCTACATAGTAAGACTTGGTCTCAAAAAAGAAAGAAAAAAAAAGCAAATAAACAATCTAAGGTGGTTCATGCCTACAATACTAGGACCACAAGAGGATCAAGAGTCAAGGTCAGCCTTAGCTACGTAGTTCAAAGTGAACCTGGGCTATCAGATCCCATCTCAAAAATAATAATATAAATAACTAAATACTGTTAAAAGAGAGTTCTAGGCCAGGCAGGGCTATATGGTAAGACAGTCTCATAAACACCTCAATACATAAAATAGTTTTTGTTTTGATTTGTTTTTAATGATTGCTTTTACAGTCACTAGCACTGGCCATGACCTTTGGATCTTTCAAAATGGACTCTTTCCTGGAGGCTACAGGGACTCAGAGTGACAAAACCTCACAGACGTGGGGTTACTAGAACAGGAAGTAACATGCCTTGAAGCTACAACTCTGAGAGGAGCGGAGTGATAACCAGCTAGGGTCTGAGCACAGTGATAACCAGCTAGGGACTGAGTCTCTGCCCACACAGGGCTCCTGCCCTCTCCAGTCTGTGTAACAATGCCCCTGACTCTCTAATAAGTGTCCCCCCTTTAATCCCAGCACTGGGGAGGTAGAGGCAGGTGGATCTCTGTGAATTCAAGGCCAGCCTGGTTTACAGAGCTAATTCCAAGACAGCCAGCACTGTTATTCAGGGAAACTCTGTCTTGAAAAACAAAACAATACAAAAAAGATTGAGAAGGAAGAAGAGGAAAAAAATAATATAAAACATATGTAGCTGGGCGATGGTGGCACACGCCTTTAATCCCAGCACTCGGGAGGCAGAGGCAGGCGGATCTCTGTGAGTTCGAGACCAGCCTGGTCTACAGAGCTAGTTCCAGGACAGGCTCCAAAGCCACAGAGAAACCCTGTCTCGAAAAACCAAAAAAAACAAAACAAACAAACAAAAAAAAGAACAACTGACTAGACCGAAGATGTGGCTGAGTGGTCCTGTGTTTGCCTAGGGTGTNAAAAAAAAAAAAAAAAAAAAAAAAAAAAAAACCATATGTAGAGTGCCTCTCCCATGAAGAATTTTACAAGGTGTAAGGGTTGGTTCAAGTTATCAACATGACACTACTTAGAACCCCTGAGAAGAAAGTCTCAGAGCTGCCTAGATTAGGTTGGCCTAATGGAATACCTATGGAGAATCGCCTTGAATGCTAATTGCTGTGGGAACTAACACATAACGCCCAGCCCACTGTGGGAGGACACCATTCCCTAGGCAGGGGATCCTGAACTGTGTTAAGTACAGAGAAGCAAGCGGGGCTGAACATGAACAAACACCCATTCCCTCATTCTCCCTGCTTGGAACTATGGATCTAACTAACTGCTTAAGTGCTTATGGCTTTGACATCCCAAAACGACAGGCTGTGACTTGGAACTGCAAGATGAATAAATTCCTCCCTAAATTGCTTTTTGAGGGTGTTTTATCACAGCCAGAGATGAAACTAAAACACAAGGATTTAGACAATGTGCAGAAAGTATTTGTCTTTTGTTTGTTTTTTAAGATAGGGTCTTGTTGTGTAGCCAAGGCTGCCCTCAAGTTTATAATCCTCCTTCCTCAGCTTCCCTCCTGGTGAGAGAGAGCACGGGTGCACCCTACCACATCAGGGTACACATGCAACAAGAATATTTGCATGCATTCAGAATACTTGCATGCACTCAGAATATCTGCACATACTAAACTATTAACAGTGATCTCTCTCTGCGCTAGACTGTGATATTGGGAGATTTGCTCGGTGTTGAACTGGAACACAGGACCTTGGAATAATTAAAACCAACTGTCAACAGGGTCTTGAACCACCTAGGAGGGCTGGAGAGATGGCTCAGAGGTTAAGAGCACTGACTGCTCTTCCAGAGGTCCTGAGTTCAGTTCCCAGCAACCACATGGTGGATCATAACCATCTGTAATGAGATCTGATGTCCTCTTCTGGTGTGCAGGCATACATGCAGGCAAAATACTGTATACATAATAAATAAATTGAACCTCCTAGGAGATAAACGTCTGGGAACTTCTGAGGGAGTATCTAGACTGGTTTAATTGGGGTTAGTTAATTAACTGGGAAGACCCATCCTACACACGTGTAGTAGTATTTCGCCATGGCCCTGGATCCCCGGCTGGAGAGAAAGGAGGAAACCAAGCTGAGGACCAGCATTCAGCTCTTTGCATCCTGAGTCAGACTAATGCCACCAGCTGCCCCAAGTCCCTGCCAGCATGCTTTCCTCACCGCCAGGAACTGTACCCTGGAACAGGGAGATAAATGCCCCCTTACCTTGCCTTTGTCAGAGCAATGAGGCCCAGCTTTAGGGCTGTGGTTTTTAATTGCTGTCTTTCAAAATACTCCATTAGTAAACAAACAAAAACCCTGGGTCATCTCTGATTCACTTTTTCCTTATCAGCTCTGAGGACCCATTAGCCATTTTTGTGATTTAGGGGGTTTTGTTGCCAATAAACTGACTTCCACTCTACCCATCCCTCCCGGGTGCACCTAGGGCATCTTCCAGGAGCCTCCAGTACCTGTTGCTCATCTCAAACTCCCCAGTCCTGCTGATGACCTGTCTGTGACCCAGGCTTCCCGTAGCCACAGGGCCACCCTCCTAATTGTCTCCTGTTCAAACTCCTGTCAGTCAAGCTGGAGGCTCACTGCTCTCCTTTCTGCTCACGTGAGGCCTTCACACCTCTGACTCTGCAGCCCCAAAAGAAGTTCTCTTCAGTCTGGAGGACCTCCCTCTTTGTATGATCAATGGGGGGGGGGGGGGGACGACGGGACACTTCTTTCTATGCTCATACGGGGCTTTTTCCCTCAGGCATTATTCAGTCTGTCCTGACAGGAATTATATCCCCACCACGGATTTGACCTCAGGCCTTTAAATCAAATAGATCAACACAGACATTCTGCGGAAGGCTCTGGAATGAAAGCCCATTCTTGTCAAGCAAGACATGAGCTGTCGCAGAACCCTCAGTGTTCCCCCAGGTCAGTAAGTCTCTTGACCTCCGAGACAGACTGAAAATCCTGGGATGGGTTCCTGAGAGGACCTGTCAGGGCCTGCAGCCAACCCTACCTTTAACACTGTTGTCAGGCAGACCGACAGCCGCTCATTTCCTACAGTTGAGCTTCGGAGCTCCCGCCCAAGGCATAATTATAAGGTTCTGTACCTTAGTCACACCAGGAGGGACCTGGGAAATCCCTTTGGGAATGCAGCCGGGCTCCCAAGCTTCCCTAGAGTGTTTCTAGAGCACAGCCTCAAAGCCAGGAGACACCCTGCGCCCTGCATCTTATGCAAGAAAAAAACAAACAAACAAAAAAAAAAACCAAACACCTGGGGGCAGTCTTCTTATTTCACCCAGAGGTTCACGTTTTGTCCAAGTTCAGGTTGTAAACACACTAGGTATGGGTGTGTTTAATCAAATGCAATTTGACGGACGTGGTAGACTTGGGATAGTGGTTATTAATAAAGAAAAGTGGGTAGTCTGGAACTCTGAAGTCTCCGTAAGAAATCAGGGAAATCTTTTCAGGGAGAATTAGACGTCATTTCCATGATGAAAAAGTGTTAAGATAGTCTAGTGGCCGGGCGGTGATGGTGCACGCCTTTAATCCCAGCATTTAGGAGACTGAAGCAGGCAGAACCTTGTGAGTCCAAGGCCAGCCTGGTCTACAGAGTGAGTTCCGGGACAGCCAAAACTCCACAGAGGAACCTTGTCTAGAAAACCCAAAAGAATGGATAGTGGATTCAACTAAGTCTTAGTATGCAGGGCAGATCACGCTCCTCTAAGAAGAAGGCAGAAGAGGAATTTTCTAAACCATATGTCAAATGCACTAGACATTGAAGGAGTCGACTCCTCTGGCTTACTTCGGCAAACTTACTCTTAGAATAAATGTTTTCTTAGACTTCTTTAGTGTTTACCTGGCCCAGTGAATCTTGGACTAGCAGAAAGTAAAGAGGGCAGAGTCTTGAGTGGATACCTCTGTCCCACCCTACCTGGCCTGCCACAGGAAGCAAGCTGGGACAGGGCTCCCTGCGGCCCAAATCCCTGTCCTGGCGTCACCCTGAATTGCGCGTCCTGGTCCAGGAACACCTACTGCACTTCTCAGGACGGAGAAAAACTAAACCCCATTGTTTGAGACCAGACATAAGGACTTCACCCGGCCGGAGCACGGCTTCCGTGCCGGTAATCGGATTCCTGGCGGGCAGCCGGGGAGGGGCCCGGCCATCCATCTGTTGTCCACACCGACCCGCAGGCTCGCAGGAAGCCTGTTCCTCCTGGGACCAGGCAGGCAGACCACGCCGCGCCCTGGCCTGGCCCAGGAGAACCCCAGCATCTAAGGCTGCCCTGCGCGTGGATGCCCAGCCGCGAGAAGTCCGAGAGGGAAGCAAGGGAGGGCTTCCAGGGACCAGAGGGGACTGTCCCCCGACGGGACCCACGGCGCCTGGTCCTTACCATCTCCTTGCGCAACAGCGCCAGCGCGGCGTCCAGGTTGGGGGGCTTGTTCCGGGTCCCCGCAGCCCGCGCCCCGCCGCCGCCCGCGCCCCCTCGGCTCAGCTCGTCCTGGATGCGCGACTTCTGCGCGTACAGCCGCTCCAGGTGTCGCCAGCCGCCCGCCGCGCCGCCGGCCGCCGAGTGCAGCAGCCCGCTCAGGCTTTTGGGTAGCGGTGGCAGCCCTTCTACCCGCAGCCCCCCGGCCGTGCCCGCAGACCCTGCCCCGCTCATCTCGCTGCCGCGCGGACACAGGCGCGCGCAGCTCAGCCGAAGTCCCGGGAGCCCCGCGGGTCCCCACCCACTTCCCGCCCGCCCGGGTCCCGCCCGCTGCCCGGCCCCCTGGTCTCCGCCCCTCCTCGGGTCCCGCCCCCCTTCTCGGCTCCCTGCTGCTGTGAGGTGGCGCCCTGAAGGCCCACTGGCCTCCAGCTCCATTCCCACCCATCTGCGTCCCAGACCAACGCCCCCCACCCAGGTCACCTTAAGTCTCAGCTCTGTGAACCAACCCCCTCATGTCACTTCCCCCTTCACCACTTCTCCAGGAGTCTCCATCAGTCCTACTCCAGCCCCGTGCACCCCACCTCCAGCGGGTCACCTCCCCTCCCCTCTGAACCCCATTTTCAACGCCAGGCCCACCCGACCAGCTCTGCCCCGACCACCCATTCTGCACCCCAATCCCTAGCGGTTTTCCCTCAGGCTCCTGCTCTCCTCCCTGTCCATGCTCCTGGATGGCCGGGTCTGACCTCGCCGGCTTAACTCTGACCAGCCACTGAAACCGCATCTATGAACGGAAGGGCCCAGTTCCAGCACCGAACCCCGGGACTCCCTATGCTCCAGCGTGGGCGTGACGACTGGGAGTGCTGGCGGCAGCCAGAACCGCACACAGTGCTCATTCACGGGGGCTTGCTCGCCGCCTCCTGGATGCCAAGGTTTCCCGAACTTCAGCAGTCAAGAAGAACACCCGTCTCGCTTTGTTCACTCTTAAAGAAATGAACCAACTTGTCCTTCAGTCCAGCCAAGAACACTAGACTAATTCTAAATAGAAATGTCAAGGAATAAACGACCCTGCTCCACCTGGTGGAAGGAGAGAACCGACTCCTGCAAGTGATCTGACCATCGCGACAAACGTACACAAGCATACACACTAAAATAACTCAGTGAAAGCAATGAATAGTGAGGTGTCTAGGAGTTAGAGAGAGATGTTGAATCTTGGGAACTCTTTGCCAACTTTAGCAAGAATAAGTAAAACTACACCTTAAAGAGACGAGTCAGAGACAGGCTTTGCCCTTCCAGGAAGACTCAAACCTTAGCAAAAGATCAGCTCAGATTCAAGATGAGGAAATCCTAATTCTGCTCAACTGCAGAGCCAGTATCTGTAACTTTAATACCCATGGCTACTGAGTTTAATTATAAAGGGACTGAATGATTCTGAGTTAATCCAGTAGGACCATAATGTTTCAGGGGCTCCAGATGCCTACTATAAAGACACCCTCTATCTTTGGGGGCTTTCTGCCTCTCTACATGGAGGCCACCCCAAAATCAATCTGGAAGTTGGTGTTAGACCCAGTCAGCCAGTGAGAAGCTGTAAGTTAGGTAGTGAGATCTGAGGGCACCCTGGAGACCACCTACCCACCTGCCCACAATTCCCCAGGCATTCCGTGTCTCAGCCACCTTCCCAAACCCTAGGCAGTTTTTCATCATCTGCCTGTTAAGCAATGGAGAGTCTGAGACGGCCTGGGAGGGAGGGAGAGGGAGGGGAGGGGTGGAAAACATTAGACCTGCCTTTCACAACCCGACCTGAATTCTTTTTCACCCACCGCCTTACTGCCTCTGTAGAAGACCTAGCAGAATGGCCAGGGGAGTTGAGAGCAACGGGAAGCATTTCAAAGCAACTGAGGCACCGAAGTCATCTTAAAGTACTTCTTTCCAAGGAAGGAGGATGCTGAGGGAAAAAGGATCCCTTAGTGAGTTCGGAAACAGCCTAGGGCTCTTGTGTCTGGACAACCTGGTCAATGCCAGCCACAGGGTTTAAAGGTAGACCCTACCTTCTGATGTGTACTCAAGGTGGTGAGCATATTCAAGTCCCCGCCAGCAAATAACGCCCCAAGATGAATAGACATTGCTACAGAATTAATTCAGCACTGATAAGGACTACATGAATAAGCCAGACACAATTATGCAACAGTCAACCAAATATTTTGACACCCGTGGGAAGTGCCAGTGCTTGCTTGCTTCATTTATTTATTTATTTAGCCATGTCAGGGATTAAAGACTGCTTGTACCTGCTGGAGAGGTGCTCCATTGCTGAACTACGACATCAGGCCCCGTGTGTGTGTGTGTGTGTGTGTGTGTGTGTGTGTGTGTGTGTGCATGTGTGTGCATATGCATGTGCGTAGCAGAAGCCAGGGAGTTAATGTCAGGTGTTTTCCTCTGTATTCTATTTTGTTTTTGTGCATGTGTACACTTTGGGGTCAGAGGACATCTTTCAGGAAAGCCACTGTGTGGATTCCAGGGGTCAAACTAAGGTCGCCGGGCTTGCCATTGAACACTTTTACCTCCACCTTTTCAGAGACAAGTGGTCTCATTGAACCTGGAGCCTGCCCATCAACTAGACTGACGGCCAGCGAGCTCCAGGGGTCCTTCTGCCTCTGTCTTCCCAGTGCTGGGTTTACGGATGCCTTCCAGTACAGGTCTTTACGTGGGTGCTGAGGAATCCAAAGTCAGGTCCCGTGCTTATGCGACAAGCCTTTCCCTGAATGAACCAGAAGCCCAGCCTTCTCCTTTTTAACGTTCATGTCTATCAAAGGCAAGGGGCATTAAGGCTACTTGGGAGAACTCTGGAATATGCGGCCTTTGCTTTTATCTGATATTCCCGCTCAGTCTGCTGGAGCTACACTAACCAAATACTTCAGACCTGGTTATTTATTAACAGCCAAGTTTACCGCTCCTGGTTCTGAGGCTGGGGATTCCAAGATCAAGGCACACAGAGAGCCCATGCATCACACAGTGTCACACAGACAGCCTTCTGTGTGTCCTCACAGGGTGGAGGGGTGCTCCCTGGAGCCTCTTTCGGGAGGACACTAATTCCATTCATGAGGTTCCACCCCCACAACTTAGCTGCTCTCACCAGTCCGTCTATTCTGCCCAGTACCAGAGCCGTCTGCCCCGGCGGCTGTCAGAGTGGCCATTCTGTCACCGTGTGGCCAGAGCACACACCTCCCAGTGTGTACTTATGCCAGGTCACATAACCTGAAGCCCTACAGCTGTCTGAGAAGGCACTGTCTGCCATCTCTCTGCCTCCTCACTCTCCTCTAGACACCAACAGGTCATGCTCACTTGCTGGGGAGGCAGGTGTAAGAAGGCTCCAGCTAAGAGATGGCTTAGAGGTTAAGAGCACTGCCTGTTCTTCCAAAGGTCCTGAGTTCAATTCCCAGCAACCACATGGTGACTCACAACCATTTCTAACGAGGTCTGCTGCCCTCTTCTGGTCTGCACACATACACAGACAGAATCTTGTATACATGATAAATAAATATTTTTTAAAAAAAGGCTGTGAGTTCGAGACCAGCCTGGTCTACAAGAGCTAGTTCCAGGACAGGCTCCAAAACCACAGAGAAACCCTGTCTCGAAACACCAAAAAAAAAAAAAGAAGAAGAAGAAGAAGAAGAAGGCTCCAGCTGTATTTGACAAGCGCCGGGCAGCTCCAGGCTTCCTCCTGCACCTCACTGTGAGCTGGCTCCTTTCAAAGCTTAAGCCCACGTTAGGTTTGGTTGGATGCTTCACATTCAGAACAACAGTGAGCTTTAATCCAGTTATAATTTAATCTCTTTCCAGGGAAGTTTTACAACGAAAAAAGAGTACACCCAAACTTTCAAAACCTACAAAGGCCGAATACGCGTATCTTTAGCGTTCTCCATACTGATGGCCACCATTTTTCATTTGCCTTATTGAGCCTTAATCGGGCAAAGCTATTTGAACCCTTAGTCTTGTTTTCTGAGACAGGATCTTACCCTGTAATTAAGCCCACCTAGAACTCACTACAGGGCGCGGGATAGCCTTGAATGCATACAAACCCTCCGGCCTCGGCCCCTTAATGGTGAGTGCTGCTGCGGTGCTCTCGCACCCTGAACTCTGAATGAAGGGATTCGTCGTTTCTGGTGGCAGTGACAGTGGCATCGCCGGCCACCGGCCGCTCCGAGGCTTGCGGTGCCCTGTGGCACTCGCTCTGCAGAGGCATTTTTTGTGTCACATTTCCTCTTCCCTCCTTGAGGTGTGTCCAGCGATTCCCATTTGTACTTGAAACAGAGCCAAGAGAGCGGGCATTCCCGGCCATGGTACCTCCAAAGTCGTCAATGGAAAGGACAGGACTGGGTCAAGGACAGAACCATGTGCCGGAACCTGTGCTCCACAGTGACAGCAATCTGTTGACTTTTTTACTTTTTTGAGTATATCAGCCGTCACTCTATGGTGGACAAAGGCTAAAGAACGACGCCCCAAACTGAACCATCCAGACGACACAGCCGGGTCCTGAGATGGGGCTGGTCCTAGCTGGATGTGCTGTACAAGATACAGAGTGGGCGCCAAATAAAGAGTACAGATATCTCCCTAACACCTTTTTATATTGGTGGCATTCAAAAGATTGTTGGATAATCTCAAAATATATCTTCATCTCATCTGCTTTTTTTTTAAAAATGGGTTCAATCTCTAGTAAGGAGGGCTGGCTAATAAGCTCAAGTTGGGTCCATGTAGGAGCCAAAGTTGTGAATGGGGGGGTCAAGCTTTACAGAGCTTAGTGTACCTAGGACAGGCTGCATTCAGAGGTGTGAGGATCACCCCTAGACTCCAAAAATTTCCACTTGCCTTTTAATGTCCTGATTAAATGAGAGTTGAGAGCCCTGGCTGACACAAGGCCAGCCTTTGAAAAGTCCCTCACCCACTTACTCACTGTCCAAAAACACTTTGGATACTTGGCAAATCTTGTTCAGTCCACAACTCTGCAGAAACTGAAAGCTTGATGTTCCCCTCCAAGCCTCACCCACAGTTTCAATGAACACCTGCCAGGTTGTGGGGACAAAGCTCCCTAAACAGAAAGCAAGGAGTGGAGATGGGGGGGTGGGAATGAATCTCCTAGCACCCATTCACAGTGGAGGCGCACGGACGCTTCCAGCATCCGCTGGGAATCCGCACACTGAGAGAACTGGGCTGTGAATAGAACTGGAAGACTAGACAGAATTTATTCAGACAGTCATCAGAATCCCACACGGCAAAGCAGGGGAAACTGTGCCCTGTGC